TTTTAGGGTTATTCTGATTTAATTCATTATATATTGCATTTAGCATGAAATTATATATAACCTAAATTGTAGATTCAGATATTCTCTATAAAAAATGTTTAGACAACATTTTTCGTAAATTTATTATTTTCTGTGAAAATTAGAATAAAATAAAAATTATTACCTTTTTCTGAAAAAAAAAAAAAATCGAAATTTTCCATATATTCTCTATATGATTGTCTTTACGATAACATACTTATTAATCTTCAAAGATGAAATAAAATAAAATTGTTTAACACTAATGTATGTACTAAAGCTAATTTTACAGTTATATTTGTGTAATAACCGTCCACGCGCCCGCTCGAAGATTAAATTATATCTTATCTATATTTGTATATTTCTTATCGAGCTTTTCTTATTCAGTTATTACACACTGTCACATCGTGCATTATTGTCTCTTTATGCTCTGTTAATTGTTCTATGTTCATAAATCTCGATACCGTATAGCATAAATGCTTTACATTTTATTTACGAATTATATTTTGAAAAAAAAGTGCATAGTTAATGTTTAATTTAATTAATTTAAATTTAGTTAATTTAGTTTAATTTAATATTGAATATTTATTATAAAATGGCTTCATCGTCATCACATATTGTTCTACGTACGCATGATGAAGTATATTTAGTTGGAAATGTGAACAACCAAATCGTTGGCAGTAAGTTACCATCTATCAAACAAGTTTTGAGTGTGCTATTTTATAATTTGAGACATGTAAAATTAAATTTGCGGGAAAGTGCAAGATTGGTATATAAAGAAATAGTACTATTTTGGCAAAAACCGAGAATACAAGTTCGAGATGAGCAGCATTGTAATTTAAAATTGGAAAAATTATATCAAAACTTACGAGAGTTACGAAAATCGGCTAAAAGAGCATCAGAAAAAAATACTATAAATGTCAGTGAGTTCAAGGAAAAATTAAATAACTTATTAGATGTATCTCATTCAAATGCATTAAGTATGATGAAAATTGAGGAAGACAAAAAATTTTTACTATTGCAAAGAGAAAAAGGAAGACCGGGATGCATGTTGGGAACTGATAGAAATTTGGCAAAAAAAGAAAACAGGGCCTATGTCAATTTACAAAAAAACCGAAAAACGTCGAAAAAGAGCGAAAATAGAAATTGAACAATTAGGTAAGTAATATTGATAAATTTATAATTTAAATAACATATTATAAACTACTATTTAGTATTTTTTTATTTATTAAAAGTATATTTAAATTTAATTTATTTAGATCACACCGTACAAATAGATTTCAATACTGATAACAATTCAACTGAAGAAGAGGTTGATATAGAAGAAGAAGACATAATACCAAGTCCACCAAGTTCATCATGTAGTAAGAAACAGAGAGGATCAAGAGATTTTATGACTCCTAAACTACTCGCTGCATTAGATAAATGTAAGTTGAGTGATCGCGATGCTGTTCACATAATAATATTAATTGCTGACGCCCTAAGTAATGATGTTTCTAAATTAATAATAAATCTATCAACAATTCAACGTGATCGAATTAGGTTTCGAGAAAATAAAACGATTGAACTTCAAAAAAAAATTTAATTTGCTAGAAAAAGAGTCTATTGTCTTACATTGAGATGGAAAACTTCTACCAGATATTACATATGGAAAATCAAAAGTAGATAGGTTACCTGTAATTGTTTTGTTTGAGGGAATAACTCAATTACTTGGTGTGCCAAAACTCAAAAGTGGTACTGGAGAACAACAAGCAAATGCAATATTAGATATTATAAATGATTGGGGTGTAACAAATAAAGTATAAGCTTTATGTTGTGACACGACGGCATCAAACACAGGTCGCTTGAATGGTGCCTATATTATATTGGATCAACTGATATTAATTAATAATTAATATTTATAATTAATCTTTTATATTTACCTTGTAGGCGACATATATTCGAATTAGTGCTAAGAAGTGTTTTTGAAGTTAAATTAAAAATAAATACTATTGGTCCTGATGTTCCTATTTTTAAAAAATTCCAACAAGCCTGGCCCGAAATTGACTTAAAAAAGTATGAAATTTGAATAAATTATGCATTTGTAAAATCTATAGTTGGAAAAAATAAACCTCAAATTATAAACTTCTGTTTACAAAATTTTAAAAAAAAAACAATGTAGAGATGATTACAAAGAAATTCTAGAGTTGACTATTATTTTTCTAGATGAAAACCTACCAAATGGTATATTGTTTTACTATCCTGGTGCTTTTCACCATGCCAGGTGGATGTCAAAGGCAATTTATTTATTCAAAATATATATGTTTCGAAAACAATTTAAACTTAATGTTCGAGAAGAAAATGCATTTCGAGATATATGTATTTTTCTAGTTACGATATACGTAGAAGCATGGTTTAGATGCCCTGCTGCAATCGAAGCACCTTATAATGACTTTATATTTTTAAAAAAAATTAATCGAATACCCAGATAAAGCTATTCCTGAAACAGCTGCACATAAATTTTGTGGACACTTGCGTATCTTGCGCCGGAAAGTATAGCCTTATCATTTTTTGATTTTCAGGTGCCAACAGAAATTAAAATTAAAATGGTCGAAGCACTTAAATCAACGCAGAACAATGATGATACAATTAAAAAAATTGTTTTGAGTAAAGAGGGTATAAAAACATTTATATAAAAATAATTACATGAATTTGTATCACCAGAAACAGTAAACTTTTTTTCAAGATTTAAAATTTCAGCCGACTTCATAGATTTCCACCTGGATACTTGGAAAGAAAGAGAAGACTATAAAAATGGAATTTATATTTTAACAGAGTTATCAGTCATAAATGATGTTGCAGAAAGAGGCGTTAAGTTAATTCAAGAATACTGACGAAAGACGAAAATCAAAAACAATTTCTACTACAAGTTGTAAATGATTATACAAAAAATTACCCTGACTGTAAAAAAAAATATATTAATTCATTCATAATTAATAGATATTTTATTTGAATATAACGCATCTAATTTTCACATTGTATTACTCCATTGAACCACTACCTATTTATTTTTAATGACATCAATATTTAATATGTACTTGTGTAGATGAACGACTTTTTTTTAAGATTAAGTTTTTCACAGAAAATAATAGATTTACGAGAAATTTTATCTGAATATTTTTTATAGAGAATACCTAAATCTACAATTTAGATTCTATACAATTTTATACTAAATGCAATATATAATGAATTAAATCAGAATAATACTAAAACTACCGTATTTGATGAATATTCAACCCTCTTGCGGCACCTGAAAGGGGTTATTAATCATCACCAAATTTAACCTACATAACTTTCGCATGGTAATGAAAAAATTGGGTGGGTGAGAAATCAAAAATATTTAACTTTCTTAACCCCCCTACTTTATAAGGGCCACCCTATCATATATATATATATATATTTCTTATATATTTCTATAGATATATATTTCTTATTATTTTGTTTTATATTCTCTCAATTATTTAAACTACAGACATTTTTGTTTATGTTAATTTCAAAAAGTATTTTGATTACTTAAGGAAATCAATTAAATTATAACATTAGTATCACTTATCAATAAATCAACTACTTATTTATATAAAGACTTTTAATTAATAAAACAGAACAATACTTCAATATTTGGCAATCAAGCTGGATTCTTCAACATACTAAACGATATAAGATCAAACATAATATCGCGTCAGGGGATCACACCTCCAGTGGAAATGCCTAAATAAATAGAAGTAATAAAAACTGCTAGCTTAATTATTAATAGACTACGAATTGGCCGTACAAAAATCACCCACAGATATCTGAGGAACACAGAGGAACTTCCAATTTTCCAAAGATCCTATTGAGTACGTACCAAAAATTTACTAACTAAATATCTAAACAAAGAGCTCCACAGGAAAAAAATCAATCACCCTGAACATTTATCTCGTATTTCCACATCATTTAGTAACTATTAAGAATCCACAAAATCAATAATTTAATTCATCATATCCTTAAAATCATTAAATAATATTTAAACAAAAAACGTACTAACAATTAAAGTTATCTATAATTTTACAATGTATTTAATTAATGTAATTTAAAAACAATTTGTGGATTTCCAAGGCCGATGCTGTCAAAGGTTTTTTTGAATATAAAAAAAAAAGACTTCAATACTTAAGTAATGTAAAAATATCAACTACTTGATTAATAAAAGTAGTAGTTTTTACTTTTATACTAAATAAAAATATTTTAATTTTTTTCTTGAGATATATTTCATAAAATAAAACATAACAAAACTTAAAATATTTTTACGTTACATAGTAATTTCATTAAATCAATTAATTTAATTATTTAGTCGCATGAATGTGATTAATAATCATAAAATTCAATGGACGAATGGTTGATAAGTGAATAACAAATTTTAGGTCCAGAATAAATAATGTAAAAGTAGGATAAAAGAACCACGAGAAAAGGAAAAAATAGAAGTTTAATTGCTCAATTTTTATTGTAATATAACAATTTTATTTTAATCCAATAAATTTAACTCGCGATGTTTATCTAAGCAATACATGAAGTACAGGTCAGCTACTTAAAAATATTTTTGTTTGATAATATAATTTCTTACTATAAATGAGTCTATAAGTCTAATGGCAAATTAAATTTATTGAATGTTTATATTTGGAATTTGATAAATACATACAGTATTTAACATGGGTTCTGTATTAACACTAAATTTGGACAAAATATTCTATGTTACCACATACAAAACGACACCACACCAATTTTCTACAAAATATTTTTATGAATAATAGCTGCTTAGTTTATAAAATTTGGCAGCACTGATTCAGCACTAATTCAAACTTCCTGTAGATTTATAGTTTGCTGCTCTGCCGCCGAATTGTGAATATTTTTTAAACAGCTCTTCAGTCCAATAGGCTACAGTCGTCAATTCATTGTATTCAAGGTAAATGTAATTTTTTTAATTATTCTTATCGGTGTGACTTGATTTTTAATGACCATAATACTTCCAGCTTCAACAATGGGAGAAGTAATCGAACTATATTTATTACGAATTATTTAAATTTACAATCCTTAATGTATTTGAAATTTCAATCGAAAGTAAACGATAATTCTTCTGTTCTAGAATTCCGATCTTAGTGATACATCATCATGAATTTATCTCTTATCACATCACAGACCTTTTATGTTTGTATAGTAAATAAAAATTAGATTATTTTAGTCTTAACTCTTAGATAGTACATAAAATAAAAAAGGACAATGAGATAGTATTATATTTAGCCATGCGTAGTAACTAAAATACAATATATCATTATAATCATAAAACTAATCTCGTCTATTTCCGATTATTTTTACGTTTCTTAAAAAAAGGACTAGAATTTTTATGATTAAATTGTATATGGTTTTAAAATGTATGTACACATACATTTTATGTACATTACATGTACAATATTCGAGTCGCATATTTTCTGGATCTTATTTTTTATTTGCATCCTCTTTTTCACATGTTTACAATACGTTTAACATAGTATAAAACAAATATGAGAGGGAATATGTTATTTACAAACAAGTGGTTAGAATAAGACTGAGAAAACAAAAATATTTGAGAAAGACTGTGGGGTTTATTAGAAGAAATGTTTCTCAACTAGGTTGGTTAATTCTACAGATATTAATTTGTTTTAGTATTCTTTTAATATTTTAACTAGTTAGTCTAGGCCATTCATCAATTGTAAGTGATTTTTAGCATATTTTTCTAATTAAAATTAATTTCCTTGTTTGGTACTTTTATTTGTAATATAAAATAATATTTCCACGGAATATAATGAAATTATTATATTTACGTTGTATTGCAACACGTAAGGAGTTAATCTATATTATTTTGATAGGTGTACATGTTATATGATAATTATGCACATGTATCAAAGTTGCTAAAATCCATTATAGGTATTCATATTAAAAACGTATACCATATTAAACATGATAAAATTATGTAAATATATAAACTTATATAAATTATTTACCAATACACATAAATGTACGTATAAGCATGCATAGCTATATATAATGTTATATTGGCATTACTTAAAAAAAGAAGAAGTTCGTATTTAAAATAATTTCTCATAATTGTTGACGTTAAATTATTCGGGAACAATGGTAGGTGGTCATTCAACTGTTGGGAACAAACTATGTTAGATCTCATGATTCCCACGAATATCACTTAGTTTTCGAGTACAGCTGCAATTAAAATATTTTTCCTTGAGGTTTTTTTTCTTTAAAAATACTTTTGGCCATTAAAATTACCCATACATAAAATCACGTGCTTTATATAGGTTTTAAAGTATAATTATCTAATATTCTGGTTTGTGTATATTTATAAAATTCCAATAGTTTTCGAAAAAATTTCAAAAGATTTTTGAAAAAATGTGCGTTTGAATTAATCCTAAACTTTTCTGTTTCATTAACCATTATTTATGACTACACATAGAACAGAGTGGATAAAAAATGCTCTGAAATTTTCCTATATCTAATATTCAATCATAATATTTATTATTATAAGACTAGAAGTCGTAATATTTTCAATATTTTATAAAAAACAAGAAAATTATAAACACGACCTTCATTTTTAATATGAACCGTTTTTAAAATTAAATCCATTCGAATCAGTGGGACCCCTACAAACAGTGACCTATCTGTACACGTAAATAATGTCCACATTTTTATTAACTTCCATACTTGTTTATTAAAAATAATAATGTTACAGTATATCGTGGGTGTTATTTAGTTTTTAGTTTATTATAAATGACCATGTTATAATTTAAAATTAATTTTTGTTCACATCTATTATTGATATCTATAAACATACTGATTAATCATAAAATAATTGATTTCCAATTAAAATATTAGATTAATCTCCGTGATATACCTGTAAAATATTTGAAACTAAATATATAAACTTGATTTTTCAAAACTATAACCAAAAATATATTAAGTATAGAATTATTTTAGTATAACTTAAATTTAAATATTCATTATGTACAAGTATTTATATAATGAATATATAATATTTTGATTTTTAAATTTAAATAAATTTAATTTTTTTTTAAAAAAAAAAATGATGGACCCACTTCCAACAAGAGTTTATTTTTTATTTAAAAATAAAAAAAAAATAATAAATATAAATAATAATTGTTGATTGACTAATTGTTTTGATACAGAATAAAGTAAATTGTTTTTGACTTAACAAATCATTATAGCACTTTTATAGTATTTTTTCTTTAATTAAATTCACCAACGTATCCAACCCTAACATCATGTTTGTTAGTTAGATCTAAATTTCAATATTCATAATATATTTATATATAGTACCAAAGAGTGGGCTTGATATAATTGTAAATAGTCGTTTTTGGAATTTCTAAGAAACCAACTTACGTAAAAACAATTTGAATTTTTGTCCAAATACTTAATTTAATTCTTTATTTATTTGAATCTTACTATTTAAAAAAAAAAAAAAAAAACTGCTCGTCTTTTTCTAATTGTATTTTTGTGATTAAGGTAACTGGTGAGTATTAATATCTATAATATATCTAATTAATATTTAATTTTATATCTATTATGTAATGATATCTGTAGTACACTAATTCTGCTGACGTAGAGTAAAATTATTATATTTAAGGAGTAATATGTAGTCAATTTGCAAATCGAGTTGCCTAAGAACTTGTTTGGGGTAAAAATTAAACAATATTATACTATTAGTATTTGAGTAATTATACGCTAATCTCCAAAACGATGATTATAATAACCGGTTTATTATATATACAATTTGATCATATTTTTTATCTACGATTTCTTTAGCAATAATGTGCGTATAATAATATTCATGAGTTAACTAAGTACTATGCAAGTTTATTAATAAATTCATGGCTCTATAAACTTATGATAAAATTCCTAAATAAATGATAAAGATACAGGTATGTATTAAAATAATGCTATAAATCTTATATATACTACATGTCTTAATAACAATTTCCTTTCATATATACATTTTTGCATTATACAGGTATTAGGATACAACTAATAAGTGATCATTTATATATTTAATGACTAGGATTTCAGAGAACAATTAATCAACATGTCTTAAATATTTATTACAATAATAAAAGTAGGTACCGTAAGTAATTGTATCTCCCATCTTAGAATATCATTTAAATACCTCATAAAGTATACAAAATAACCAGTTAATGATTAAATGCAGATACTACAGTATTGACTAAATATATCTATATCTATAATACAATAATATTTTCCTGAAGTTTAAATTGTATGATAAAAATATGCGTTATTAACGTATTCAAATTTACGTTAGCATAAATTGTATACATTTATTTATATATTATGTAAACACCCACGAGGACATTACAATAATGCTTACAATCATAAATACAATACTATATAAGATTAAAATATTGAAAGATAAAATAGTAAATAATAAATATTAATGATTAAAAATAAGTATTTAGTTACTTATTAAATAAGAAAAAGAATGATAAAACAATATAAAATATATTTTAAATAGATCAATATTTATAACGATAAATAAAATAACAAATTTTCGAACAGGAAAACATTAAAATATAATCAAACAAAATGTATGTGAATTAGGTGTTCGAAAAGCATTGGCTTGAAGGACACACATTTTTAATATAAATTAAATCAAAACGTTTAAGCTCATTACATTTCCAAAATACCCTCGGGAATATATTTTTAATCAGTCAAAATACATATATACGTGTACAGTATACAAACATAAAACTGTTATGATCGAGCACGGCTTCTATAGCATAATAGCATTTATCAATTATAATGAAATGTTCATCAATAATATGCACATTGTATATAAAATATTATAACTTATTATATTCTTGATACAATTAATAAATAGCTGTCTTTTCGACACGAACATAAATGACAAAGGTTTATAAATAAAAAAATAAAGAATAAAGTATATCTAATGTCACTCACACGTATACTGCTATTGTCGGGAAGGGATCTAAAGAATACAAATAATATTGTCGAATAAACTACAAGATCACACAGCCTACGTGACTAATATAAATATTTTAAATAAAAATTCTTTATGTATACTGCCGTCCGTCTAGAGCTAAGCTCAATATCTTTAAATGTCTTGCCGACAATAAACCTATATAAAGATCAAAACTATAAAAAAGTGACGACTCATAGCAGTCGGGGACAATCATAGTACAGTTTGTTCCAACACCGGTACTCGGTTGGTCTGTAGAGTCACTCTATATCTTAATACCTAAGAATAGGAAATCTAATACATAGTTGTCCATAAGTTTTGATTCAAATAAATGTAAAAAAAAATTGAACCTCAATATAAAGAAAATTTATGAGCGTATAAAATCGCGTAAAATAATTTTAAAACTTTTACCAGTAATTGAGATTGACATTTTCATTACATAATTTTATTTTAAAAATATTTCATCAATTTCTAGGCTATTTATAGAAGTTTGAAATTTTTGATTTTTTTTAAAGTTATCTTTTTATAAATATTGATAAAAAATGTTTGAAGAGATAAAGTACTTGCAAATTTAACATAAGATTCCACATAACTTGGTCTTAAAGTTTTTCAAAAATTATTATTAATCGTATATAAGCATTATCGTGTATAAGCACAATTATTTTTACTAAGTTAAAATATTGCCAACATTTGTCAAAATCATAAATATTTATTAGTTATTTTGTAATTAAAAATGTATAAACATTTTTTATTAATAGCTAAATAATGAAAATTAATTACAGGGTTGTCCATAAGTTTTGACTATAATAATTATAAAATAAATCGAATGTAACTAAATTAAAAAAAATTTAGGTTTGTCTAAACTTTTAATTTTCATGAAATCAAAAATTCACGCATACCTAAAATAACGATTTATTATTAAACGATTTTAGATTTTTGATATTATTAAAAAAGACTAGTCTTAAAAACTTGAAACTTAGAAACTTAATAACTAAATACTAATACTGAAAGAAATAAAGTAAATTATCTTAGGCTAATAAATTATCTGCATTCAGAATCGTTTTTTCACAATGTTAAATAATTTATCATTGAACTCAAATTTAACACACACATTATAGTGACTTACTTTACAATGACAAGATTCACTCGACAGAGCATGTTTCCAAATTTTCAAAATGTTCCCATATTGAACCCCTTTGATAAATCTAATTATTAATTGCAATTTGATTTTGCATTGTTTTATAAGTAAAATCTGTCCAAATAGTTCGGTGCTTGATAACCAAATATAACATATAGAGCACATGCTCTTCTATTCAAATCAATATTAATATTATTAATAATATTAATAATATTAATATTAATTGATTATCAATACATTCTATAAGTAAACATTCGTAGAAAAACAGTAAGGTTAAACTTTTAAAACAAATATATATAGGTGATTATTTAAAGCAGGGATCCTGAAACTTTTACAAATACTGTACCCCTTTTTATCAATTAAATTTTTTGGGTACCCCTTCTTAGTTAGAAAAACTAAAATAAATATAAAAAAAATTAAAAACTTATAAAATTACATTTTTATTTCATTAAAACATAATAAGTATACAAAAAATGTTAAAAACAAAAATAGCTTACTTTCAAAAAAAAATTAATGAGAAGGGTTAGCTTGTTTTTGTTGGCACAGTTGATCAATATTGGGTTCTAATTTAGTTTAGTACAATCTTAAATTATCTTCAACATTTAACTTGTTTCTATATTTACTTTTAAACTTGAATAACCTTTTCGACATAAATAATTTAAATTTAAAGGTTTTTTGGCCAGACTTGTACCCCTTAAAAAATCTCGAGTACCCCCAAGGGGTACGCGTGCAACAGTTTGAGAACCACTGATTTAAAGATAAGAAGCTAAACTGGTAAACAAAACTATATAAAAACAATATACCTATTACATTCTAAATTTTAACTATTAAAATTAAAGTTCTTATACATTATTAACTACAAAATATATGGGAAGTTTCAATAAAGAAATATTTTGTCAAAAAGTTAATTTCAAGTTTTCGGGAGGGCTGGGGAAATGCTAAATGAGTAAAAACCAGTCAGAATTAATTTTTGAAAAATTTTGCAAGTAGTACAAATTCGTACAAATTACATACTAAATATTTGAGGGAAAAAAGTTAACATACGTGTGTCTGCACGTATCTGTAATCTCACATTTATAATGTATAGTTGATTTGGTTTTCTTTTGGAATCACGACCAAGATCTGTATTTAATAACTCACCTTCGCCTACTACATTTTTTTTTTTATTACTACACATAATTATAATAGAACACTAATAAAATTGCCAGGGTAAGCTATATGTAAAGCGGATTTAAAATTTAAAACATTTTACTGTATATTTTCGCATATTAAAAAACTTTAATTATATTATACTATTTTTTTAGTTTTAAATTTATTTTTTGTTCATACTCTCAAATTGAATTATTTTGTGTTATTTATAAACCTCGTTATTTAAATTAAAAACGTAAAAAAAAGCTTCGACTAACAGAATGAAACGAAAATTCATCTACTATAAATTTATTAATTTATACGTAGTTGTTTCTTGAACACATATTTTTTAAATTTTTAATAAAATAAAAACATTAAAATCATTTAAGAATAATTTTTATGTTTTTAATAAATATTATAGAACTCATTTTTTTTTTTTTAAAAAAAAGCGGTTATAAAAAACGCATATTTAAGTATTTTTTACTGATAGAAAATCCAAGCACTGATTATATAAACATTACTATAATATATACTATAATTTTAATGAATACATTTTGAAATTTTGATACGTAAACGTTTTAACAATGTTAAATAAAAATGTCTTATAACTAGTATAATTTAACTATAATCTGAGATTACTATTACTGTTTAATGACTTTATGAACAACACATAAAGGTAATATTATTCACAAAATAGTAAACTTCTAAAATTAATATCATTGAGTTTCTTTAATTTTTATAACCATTTGAATAATGTAACTTTATAAAATAAAATACATTTTTAAATCTAATTATATAATTAATTTCATATAAATAATGCTATATGCAAAATTAATTAAGCATAATAATCAAGACCTCTGGAGTTTTTTCATATTTTGGATGTCAGTTACTAAATAATCATTTATTTATAATATGTACATAATTATCAACACATTTAGGTAGTTTAACTTTCTAACTTTATTTTAAACTCAAATACAAAATTTTTTAATATTTATAAATTACAGTTTATCAAAAAAGAATTATGACTCAACAGCTAGAATCATCAAAAACGGTTAGTAAACATTTTATTTTAATTTTATTAAACCAAATTTTCATTTATTTACATTTACATGGATTATTTACCAATGATTTGTTTAACAACTTATGATATTTAAATCTCCAATATATTTAATAGACAATAGACCCATATAAATTGTGACTGATTTCTTACAGGTTAAAGTAATTGATTTAATAAGTGACACAGTAACCAAACCAGACATCAATATGCGGCAAGCTATGTTCAATGCAGAAGTTGGTGACGATGGTTATGGCGAAGATCCTACAGTAAACCGTAATTATGAATTAAACCGTTAAATATATTATTCACGGAGAAATTAATAAAAAAATAAAAAGTTAAGTTAACATTCAACCAATATATTCTTTAACTTCGTTAAGTTAAAAAGAAATTGATAAAAAAATTAATTTAGTAAAAAAAAAAATGTTTTCACTTTGCAACATATTATTATGTATGTCTAACACTATATGTCTAAATAATACTCATCAGTATCATTTGTCATATATGAGGATTTCAAGGCGCTGCTAGTAAAGACCGATGAAGAAAAGAGTTGTACTGTGTGAACACCGATTATTTATCGTGGCAGTGAGCATCGGAAGAACGTGGCGAGACATTTCGTCGAGACTATCACGAAAGTATCATTAAGGATCGAGAAACTATTGAAGAAAAATTTACCGATGAATATGAGTTCGGACGATGAAAAGACTCACGAGATAGCCACACAGTGCAACCCTTTTCTTTATCGGTCTTTACTAGCAGCGCCTCAAAATCTTCATATATGACAAACGGATGGTGAACTATATTTTTCCAAGCGTTGAACTTCAAACATTCACTCTCTGACGGCATTACCGGTAATATCGGTTTATGACCATCACAAATCAGCTTGTGGTGTTCCAACGCTGCCCGACCACTCAACTTATATTTATGAAGTCTACTATCAAACCTTGTGAAGCACCGTTTACAGAATACAATCCCCCATTATGAGCGGTTTTCTGTGATCTAATAAGCCGTGACATACTCGTATTAGATATAAAAACGTAATGCCATCCGCTGTCATCAATTACCAGCAGCAAGCCGAAATGATCTGGTTTTTCATCGTTAACAACACGTAACGGATACATTTCATATGTCAGATATTTACTAGGTGGTTGAAATTTTTTTTCTAGTCCGTAAACATTTACGGACACGTGTGAATTATTTTTTTCAAATTTGGAAATATCTGATAACGGTATGGGGAATGAAATACTGTTGAAATTGTATTTGTTATCGTGTTTACTATAATTTTCTCCGATCCTATATCTCGGTTGTTCTGTCACGCGTTTCACGAGAATCGTCCACTTAAAACACTTCTGATCGACGTTTTGCGGATTTATCGCCCCCTTTTTTCTATCGATAATCGCTGGTAACGGTATGTACGAAGAGCTTCTCATAGGATTGTATTTATAAACTGTCAACAATAACCCATCTTTCGTTTGTAGTGTAACACTTCCTATGCTGCTATAATTATCTTCTTCGCTCAATAATTTTATGTACTACCCATCAATGATAGCCGAAATATCTGAATTCAGAAAAATTTCAGCTGCGGTAGTTTTAAATGCCCTATTTTCTATTGAATTCCCCACGTGCGGATAATTATACATAGCTTCATATTGAATTTTATAGGTTTTTCCTGAACTCGTTTTTTTAACAAAATCGTTAGCTCTGGTTTAAGAGAGCGGAGAAATTCGGCATAATTCTGAATACTGTTGGTATTTTTTGCAAAATACCATACAATTTTTCGGTTTGCCGAAGATGATATTTCAACGAAGTTGGGTGTCTGAACGAGTGTCATGTGAATTTTTTTTACTCTAGCAGATAATGTGGTGTTGGCGATGGACATGCGCTTACCGTTAATTCAAATCGGCTGGGCCGATTTGGCTCAATTTTTTTTTTTAACTGTTCGTGATTGCCAGGAGAAGGTTTTTACGAAAAAAAATGTTGGAAAAATGTTATTGTTTAATAAATCATAGTTTAATTTAAGAATTTTTGACCCGGTCGATAACTGCACATTGAAAATGCATTATTAAATAAAACTATTTAAAAACTATTCATTTTATTTTTGGTATTAAATGACTGGTACCTATTGCATAAATATTAAACAACAAGATCCCGCAACAGGTGCCAAAACAAATAAAAATGTTAGTTCGAAGAATTATTATGCATATCGGTTGATGATAAGACGCGATTAGGACAAAGCTATTCTATGATGTCATGATCTTTGTCAACAACTCATGGTGTCGAAATGTATGTAAAGATAGAGAGTGAATGATTTCGCTACTTACGATTTAATCAAAAAAAGCTACGTGCAGAAAATTCTCAAAACAATTGTTAGATATTGGAGATGGGAAAGTTACTACAGATGAAACGGTATGTATAAAATTACCGACCGATTTCTGCACAAACATTTATTCGCAAGATGCTCTCATTGACCAGATTTCCCAATGTACACAGACAATACACAAATCATGAATGGCTGGCAAAAAGAGCAATTTTAGTAGCAAAAAATGTAGACGTCAACGAATTGAATCTCAAGATACAACATTTGTTACCAGGAGACTTGGTGTCATAAAAGTCTATTGATATAATTTGCGATGCTACTGAAGCTGTAAATTATTCAACGGAGTTTTTAAACTCATTGGATTTACCAGTCATGCTACCACATAGTTTACAATCGAAGGTTAGATCTCCGGTTATTTTGCTTCGTAATTTGACCCACCATGGTTGTACAACGGCACGCGATAAGTCGTTAAAAAATTAATGAAAAATGTTATCGAAGCCATAATTTTAAATGGCAAATTCTGAGGTGAAAACATATTATCACCGCGAATTCCTATTGTACCCACAGATGTGCCAATACAATTTAAACGCCTTCAATTTCGAATTAGATTGGCATTTGCAATGACTATCAATAAGTCTCAAGGCCAAACGATGTCTGTCTGTGGCTTAGATTTGAGCACATCATATTTTTCACACGGACGTGTGAAATCGTGGCGTGCTCTCAAATCAACCAGTTTGAGTTGGTGAAAATGTGATAACAAAAAATATTGTACACTCTGTAGCATTAAGGGATAGATATTGTTTTTTACTAATATTGTCATATTTAGTGATATGTATATATATATATATATAATTTTAATGGATCAATTTTAATAAATTATTAAAAAAATAAATGTTTGATGTTTTTTCATTTTTATATTTCGTCACCGTTCACAGCACCATTTCCTTCCCTACATCCTTATCCTTATCCACATCCTTACATGCCTATATTAAATTAGTTATTTTTTTATAGCAAAATATTCTCTAGAAATAATTTATATGACAAAACAACGTTTGTCGGGTCAGCTAGTATTATATAAATATTATATATATATGAATATTAATATTTTTATTTTAAATGTTGATAATCGTATAAATATTCATCATATAATTAATTATTTTATTAACTAACCTTTGAAATGTTATATAATTATAATAAAATTATATTCATTCACTTTATTAATTTAGATTTATTTTTAATTTTTTCAAAAGTTATTAAAAATTCGTGATATTGTAACTAAATTTTTTTTTTATATAAATATAGTTTTGGAAAGAAAAGCATCGATTCTTTTGGGAAAAGAAGCAGCATTGTTTGTACCGAGTGGTATCATGGGCAATTTAATTTCAAGTAATTTAATAATTTTTACAGTTGAAATGTATATTTTTAAGTTTTCTTTAGCTTCAAAATTTACTTTTTTTGATTTGCCTATTTGTTTATAATTATAAACTAAACTTTAATCAGTGGCTGTTTTTAGGGAGTGGTCACTAACCCACCCCTTGCATTTTTTTTATGTCAACTGTTATATTTTGTTCGTCATATTATTTTCACGAAATATGTTCATAATTTTTTTTTTTTTTAATGTTTTTATCTTTTATGGCATTGGTATGGAACATTGAATTGATAACAATAGACAAATATACTCGTACGATATTAAACACTACAGAACTATTACTAGAATTATTAAGGTTAAGCTAATCGGGTTTGATCGTATTTTTTCAGATTATAGTCAGATTAATGGACTTTTTACTTTATTTTTTTATTCTAAAAAAATAAATAGGTTTTAAATTAAACTATTTAAATTATGAAATAAATAATGAAAGTTATGTAATTTATAATAGAATCATAAACAAATTGTATTCTTTATTTGATATACATAATTATGGCGGGGGCAAAAAATTTAAAATAGTCCCCACCTTGATGTTTCATCAAAACCGCCACTGAATTCAATACAAATTTAAATAAGGCAATATTTTATTTTTATAATATAATTAACATTTAAAAAAAATTTCGTTAGTGGATTGCTTAATAGTTTAAATTGACTAGTCATATAAATTTAGCTAATAAAGTACATCATTATAAGTATACATAAGTTTAGTTGTTTAGATGAAATTTGATATTGTTTATTTATTTTTTCTTTAACGTCATAATGTATATGTATTAAAAAATTCTTACATAAGAGTGATAAGATATTTACAAATGTATTAAGAATATATATGGTACCTATATAAATATATTCTAAAAAATCATTCTAATTTTAGTAATAGCTCATACTAGACATCAAATTGGAAGCGAGGTGATAGTTGGCGACAAAAGCCATATTTTGCTATGGGAACAAAGTGGAGCATCTCAGGTAGTACATATTTATAGTTTAATATGAATTTTGAACTAGGTAATACAATTTTAAATATATTTGTTTTAAATAGATTGCTGGTATACAAATGCGTGAAGTTAGAAATTTATCGGATGGAACGTTAAATATGACAGAGCTACGTGAAAAATTGCGACCAATTAATCCATTAGACTTCGAATCTTATACATCGTTAGTGTGCATAGAAAACACTCATAATTATCTCGGTGGTGTAGTGCTTCCTCTCGAATGGCTCGATCAGGTAAAATTAACTGCAATAATAATTAATAATTTTTAATTAAATCTTATACAGACATAATTCTATTGTACGTGTATATGTCACTGAACTCCTCCTAAACGGCTGTGCCGATTTGAATGCATTTTTTTGTATGCATTTGGGTGACGCTCTGGATGGTTTAGATTCATAGATCAGCTCGGCAGATAGCATTGCCGATTGTATGTAGGTTATTTATCTGGATTTATAAAATGTCTGTTTGTTTGTTTGTCCTTTATACATTTCTAAACGACTGGAACAATTGCGACGCAATCTGGTACAGAGATATATTAAACCTATGAATAGAAGATAGGCTAAGTTAAAAAGTGATAGGCTCAACCCCGGAAGGTGCTCAAACAGACATTTTAAGATTTACGATGGAAATTTTTGTTTATAGATGGTTGCTATTAGTTTCAATAATAATATTAATTATTGCGAAAGCAATTATTAACCATGAATTTGTTATTATTATTTGTTATTATTTGTTACCATGGCACATATGACTATGGGATTAAAATGCATTAAAAAAAAAATACATTAGTGTTACCGCACGTTCTAACATTAAAATTTGGCGTACCCATTATTCTTCTACGAAATACCAATCCGCAACGATGCTATAACGGTACCAGTAGTGCTCTGCACGATCCGTTATTTTAAGGACCAGACCGGACTACACATTTTACCAGGAGACCGAGGTCGGATCGGACCACACTTAAACGTGAATCAAAAACTAAAATTGGACCGAACCGATGGCTTCATATAATTTTTAGACAGGACCGGACCAGTAATTAAATAACATTTAATAAAATAGACCGTGGACTGGACTGTCGGTCCGATCTTAAAACATTTTGGACCGTTTATGGACAGATCCGTAAGATTCAGTCTGTATTAGCCCAGACCGTACCATATGATGCGTTTAGTATTACACTGGACTGGACTACTGTACTTTATAAATAAATTTATACCTAAAGTTGTAGGTTTTTTTTCGTTTCATTTGTTTATATAACAATATCTGTATTTAGATTTTAAGTACCATGATTGGGACTGGATTGAGACCGGATCGGACTGATTTTCATTTTTTTTTTTTTTTAAAACCGGACCGGACTGAAAATAATATATTTGATCTGAGAACTGAACCGAACTACTCCTAAAAAATTATTGAACCGGACCAAACTAACGATTTTTGTATGCTAGGACCGGACCATGCAGAGCATTAGGTACCAGGCTTTTCGTGAAAAAGTTAATGAACAGCATTATCGAAGCTACTATTTATGCCAATGCCATATGCTAATATATAATCAGTGGCGGCTCGTGCTAGAGGCACACGAGCACGTGCCCCATCTATAAAATTGAAAGAAAGAAGAAGAATTTAAAATTGATTACCTATTGGTATTTATTCTAACCATCATAATATAGTTAGTAATTGGTATATTATTTGAAAATATAATCGAAAAAAAAAATTGTATCAAATATGGTTGCTCCTACGTACAATAGTACGTACGTAAGTATTGTACGTATTACGTATATACTGATACTATGGTTCGTCTTGGACGCTTTTTACGTTATTAGCGCTTATTAGTGCTTCATTGTCGTTCACCTTGGCACATTGAAACGCTCAAACTATAACCGTGACGTCATTAATACTGGAGCTACGTCATTGTTACGCGCTCACAAACGATTTCACGAAATAGGTAATGCAGCCAAAGCGTCAGTGCTTTGGGGTGTTGACGATCGGACTAAAGCATTTGTTAGTGATAACGAATACGGAATAATGATAGTAACATTGAAAATAACAATATTTTCTACATAATTTTCCATTCTAGGGATTTCATTTTGGCAGTCACAAACGGCACTGCAAGTTCAAAGTCATAATCATCATCATCCTCACTTTCTTCCGACGAAGAGAAAAAAAAAACATCACCAACTAGTTATAAAGCTAGTTCAACTAACTCTTCTTCATTAAAGTCATCCATTAATAATGAGTAGGGTTGCCATACGTCCCGAAAAACCGGGATTGTCACCGGTTTTGGACTTCACGTTTCAGTGTCCCGAAAAATATTTTCGGGACGTCCATATGTCCCGGCTTAGACGTTTAGAGGAAATGTAGTATTGTTTAATTTTTAATTTCGTCCAATTTTATCTCAAAATACGTTATTAATCGTAATTAATTAACAATATATAATATATATTTTATTTTACAAAAATTTTTTTAAATATTATATTGCCGGGTGTCCGGCCAAAATAGCGAAAAAAAAACAGCGAAAGGAAAAATAGTGAATTCAAAATATCGAAAAAAAATTTAGCGAAACTGAATTATAGCGATCAAAAATAAATCAAATGTTTGGGAAATAACTATAATAATTCTTGTACCGATATAATCAGATAACAGTCAATGAGGTACATAATAAGTAATTATTAATAATATAACAACTATCTAATCAATCCCCTATCGTTTTTATTGTGTATAGTGAACATGGTACACATGTAGAAAAAATATTAAATTGGGTTCGACGTTCGATGACATAAAGTATAGAAGTGTTGTTTATTGTAATAGTGTAGTGCATTTTCATTTTATAGTTAATTTTTGAATAATGGAATTTATTAAATCTAATAAGGGTAAACATTTTCTCGTGTATAATAGTTATACTTAGAGAGAAAAAAAAATGTACAAGGAGTCAAAGTATTGGAAATGTTTAGATATGCAATGAAAAAGTCGATTAACAACTACAAATAATACTACAGTTAAAAAAGAGCCTTCAGAGCATAACCACGTTCTAGATATATGCAGATTAGAAGTTAAAAAAGAAGTCGAAAGAATGAAATCACAAGCACTATCGTCACAATATAACCCTCAGCAAATAATTGCTTCATCGCAAATTAATCCATTTATATCAGGTGCGTTACCAGAGTTATCTAATTTAAAACACACTTTACGAAGAGTATGCCAACGTAATAACTGCGCACCGCCGAATCCTCCGTCACTTTTTAATTTTGAAATACCTGAAAAGTATACTTTAATCAAAAATGGAAGACGGTTCCTGCAGTACGATAGTGGTTCATCAGATGATCGTATTTTAATATTTTTTACTAAAGAAAATTTAGAGTTAATGATAAAATGTAATAATTGGTTTGTCGACGGTACATTTAAGAGCTCTCCGATACTTTTCACTCAAATTTATACAATACATGTATTGACAGCTCATTTGTTGACATCTACTGTTTACGCCTTGTTACCAAATAAATCACAAAATACATATGTAAGCCTCCTTAATCAATTAAAAAAAATTAAACCAACTTTATTGCCAAAATCGATTATGTCAGATTTTGAAATGGGATCTATTAATGCATTTAAAGAAGTATTTCCAAATTTAAAAACAAAAAGGATGCCATTTCCATTTTTACCAATGCATTTGGCGTAAAATACAACAAATTGAATATATGGCCCAAAAATATATATCAGATTCGACATTTTCATTACAGGTACGACTCTTATTAGCATTAGCATATGTACCAGAAAATCATGTGATAGATGGATTCGAAGAACTCATAGATTCACAATACTACACCGATAATGAGAACATTTTACGACCATTAATTAACTACTTTAAAGACACCTGGATAGGCCGTCCAATGGGTCGAAGAAAAGGTCGTAGATTACCGAAATATTCAATTAGTTTATGGAATTGTTACGAATCGGCGAATATCTATTGTCAAGGATTTATAATGCAGTAGAAGGTTGGCATAAAGGATTCAGTTCATTACTTGGTAAGTATTTTAAAATCTATTATTTTTTAAATTAATATTAGGATTCAATATAATTTATAATATACCTAATTTGAACTATTTAAGGGGCGTATCATCCAACCATATGGAGATTTATTGATGTGTTGAAGGAACAGCAATATTTATCGGAAATTAAACACCAACAATTCATTACCGGAGCAAAAAGTTCTAATCAAAAAAAAAAAATCTATAAAAATTGTTCAGAAAAAATTAGAAGTATCACTTCATCTTATAATATTAATGACAATATTAATTATTTGAAAGGTATCGCGTGTAACTTGAGCTTACAAATGTAAGGATTGTGATTTTTAATTAATACATATTTTTATAACATTAAGACAAAACAAAATCTGTGAATA